TTACAGTATCTCCGCTGATAGTTTTCTGGGATTGCCACTTTCACTTTTACTCCTGAAAAAGGAAATTCTTCCACCCAAACCCTTGCTCTGGAGCTGTGGTGGCAAGTAGGGACTATTTTATTCTCTTACTATGCTGTTTTCCCAGGTCCCTGAATCTTTTATTTTATTTTTTATTTTATATTTTGTCAGTTATGGGTCTTGAACTCAGGGCTTGGGTGCTGAAAAGCTTGAGCTTTTCTGCTTGAGGCTAGCACTGTATCATAGTGAGCCATGGCACCATTTTTGGATTTCTGGTGGTTAATTGCAGATAAAGGTCTCACAGACTTTCCATCCTGGCAGGCTTTGAACCACAATCGTCAGATCTCAGCCTCTTGAGTAGCTAGGATTATAGGCATGAACCACCAGTGCCCAGCAAGTCTCTGAATCTTATAAGGTTCTGAAACTTCGGCTTTCCATTGTTTCTTTGTGGACAGGCAGGTGTGTTATTACAGTTCAGCCATTTTGGATCTCCAATGCACCATTTCATGGAAATGATTTGACTTATATCTGTGACACCTTTAAATTGAACGTGTCATTCCTCATTGTTCAAACTGGCAAACAAGGCTTAAAACAGGTTAGGTAACTTGAAAATGTGATAATTAGTGGATGAGTTGAGTCCTATAATGGAAGTGGTCTCAGCTCATGCGTAATATCCGGGTGAACACAGTTTTATCAAAGGACTTCAGTAATGTACTTAATGTTATAGTTTCCCTCTAATCTATTAGAGCCACAGTTTCACTTCCAGCTTTTTTGCAGTTAGAGTCTTACAGACTTTGCTGCCTAAGTAGCAAGGCTTATAGACCTGAGCCGCAGCACTTAGCTAATTCTGTGAATTTAGATGATCTGAATCCATTCTTGTCAGGGGGAAAATAGGAGTAGCAGGATGTCTTTAAGTAAGAAAGCTTTTACCCAACACTTATGTGGAATTCTTATTTCAGTTTGAACTAGCAGTTGATGAGAGTAGTGTCCAACTGAATATCTTTGACTATCTTTGAAGCAGCTTAATGAGAAACTCCCAAAGAAACTGTATTTATCAAGCATGCACACAGGAGCTTTGAAGAGAGAAGGTTAAAGTCATCAACTCCAATGAAGGAATTTGCAAGAAATGACCAGGTCAGGAGAGGATTAAAACAAGCCATTTCAAATCTATGAGAACAAAAGTAGCTTTGTTCTTTGAATACGAAGCACACTGGTAAACCTGAACTGATGTGCGCTGCAGTGAATTCCTTTCCCTATTCCTTACGCTTTGAAGCTGTGATTCTGTTTAGTCACAGAGGCTGCTGAGAGGGGCGGGGCCTCCCTTCTTGATGTCCCCTGTCAGGCATGGTATACTAGGTATAGAAGGAGAGCAACAGAAAGTCTGGATGCAACCCCAGGCTGACCAGCTGAGTGAGCACAGTAAGCAAGTCCTGTAGTGAGCAGGAGCTGCACCATCATTATGGAAAGGAGGCTCCTCCAGTTGTCCCCCCATTTTTTTTTTTGCGTACTCACTTTTAGATGGTTTTTAAACCAACAATACTGATTTAAAACCCTGTACTACTGAAATTGTCTTCTCTCAAAGACTTGATCTCAAATAGCTGATTAGTGGCAGAGCAGTTGAATGGGCAGGGGGACAAACCTAAGCAGGACTCATCCAAAATAAGGTTGTTTGTTTTCAAACCAACCAGACTAAGGAAAGCAGCCAGGGGGTGCTGTGTGTTCGGGCAGCTATATTGCATGGTTGCCTACAGGAGTTTTTTCTTCTGTCAGTCTCTTCTAAGGGAAGCAAGGGATCAATAAGGCTTTAGGAAGGCTGGCTCGTCTGTCATTTTCCAGCTGTCTCTTCACTTCAAGCCACAGCTCTTTTGTAGCATAATAGCATCCTAGGTCTCTGCCAGGGAGTGGGATGGGGAAGTTTTAGAACTTTTCTCAGCCCTGGGCATTGGAGTGCAGGGTTCTGACGCATGATGGGTAGGAAGTGAGGATTGAGTGCTTTAAAAAAATTGGGGAGGTGGGGAGGGAAGGGGTGGTAGGGGAAAAGCAAAGGAGGGGGGTGACAATGCTTGACAGCAAATGTACTCATTACCTTACTCATGTAACTCTAACCCCTCTGTACAGTAGCTTTACAATTAAAAAATATATATATATATTTTTTAAAAACAGTGATGTTGTTGCTGCATCTCTACTAAGATCTTGGCTTAGAGCAGCATCTCAAGGAAAATTGCCCAGTCAATGAGCTTAAAAGCCACTAAACTTTAAGCATTTCCTGCATTGCTTTAATTTGAGTCAAATTTGGCCTTGGCTGAATATAAAGAAATAGGAAACAAGGGAATTCCCTATGTGCATGCTGAAAAAGATTTCTAGGTCTGAGGCCAATTCCTGTAACCCTAGCTACCTGAGTACTGCTGAGATCTGAGGATTTTTGGTTCAAAGCCAGCCTGAGTAAGAAAGGCAATGCAACGCTCCGATTAACTACCCACAGGCAAAAGTGCAGCTGTGACTCAAGCAGAAGAGTACCAGCTACAGGTAAAAAAGAAAGAAAGAAAGGAAGGAAAGAAGGAAGGAAGGAAGCAAGCAAGCTAAGGGTATTCACTCTGGCTCTGAGTTCAAGCCCCAGTACTGGCACCAAGTAAATTTTAAAAAATTCCTGCTAATTTGGGAAAGGATAAAGGTTGGAAGACTCATGGTTGAGTCTTCTGAGAACCTGTGGTTCTAGAAAGTGTTTCATCCAGTGTTCAGGGCATGCCCCCGTGGCAGAGGGAGGGTGGAGAAATGGGAACTATTTTGCTTCAAGATCTTCTAAACTACATGGAGTTGGTTAAAGACATGTCCAATTTTTTTTTTGATACATCTCATGTGCCTTACACTTGTCTTTCTGATGGAAGAGGAATTCTTCCTTGAAAAGAGACAGAGTCCTTGAGAAAATGAAAGTTCAGAATCTGAGCAATACCAGCAGGCAAAGCTTCCACACCATTAACACTGAGCATGCTCCTTGCCAGCACAAGGAAAAGGCAATCTCACATTAGCAGGGCGTTGCTACTCCTTCCTGATTTATGTGGTTCCCACAATGAGAAGGATAAAAAGTGAGCAGGAGGGCTGGGAATGTGGCTCAGTGGTAGAGTGCTTGCCTAGCATGCATGAAGCGCTGGGTTTGATTCCTCAGCACCACATACACATAGAGTGACAGAAGTGGCGCTGTGGCTCAAGTGGTAGAGTACTAGGCTTGAGCAAAGGAAGCTCAGGGACAGCACCCAGGCCCTGAGCTCAAGCCCCAAGACTGGCAAAAACCAGTCAGGGGGAAAGACAAATCAATAAACAAGAGAAATATCTGGCCTTTGGGGGCATTAGACAGTTTAATATGGAAAATGGAAGATATTATTTTGCTACATGTATAAAATACCACAATAAAACCTCTAAAAACACACTAAAAAAAAAAGCTGAGAGACTAAAACAGACTGCTGTTGGGGGGTGGTATTTGTGGGAAGTGAGGGGATGATAAAGGTGAATATAACCCAAGAGAGCAATGAAGCCAGTTGACATTGTTTTAAGAAGTGGGAAGTAGGGTAGGGGAAACTGAGGTTGATGTGGTACACTGTGCCTCTCATCCCAAACTCTAGAGGAAGCTGAGATTAGGATTGCAATTCCAGGCCAGCCTAGGTAAAGAAGTTTTCAAGACCTTATCTTAAAATTGCTGGGCATGGTGGCACATGCCTGCCCTTCTCGTTGTAGCAGTGATTCTAAATAGTCGGATCAGGATGGAGCTGTGGCTCAACTGGTAGAGCACTAGCCCTGAGAGCTTCAGGGACAGCATCCAGGCAGAGATCAAGTCCCAGGGCCAAATAAAAAGAAATAGTAGGATTAGTGAAAAATGTGAGAGCCTATTCTGAAAAATAACCAGAGAGAGAAAACAAAGGTAGATATGGCTCAAGTGGTAGAATGCCTATGTAGCAAGTAGAGAAGCCCAGTAGTGTTTCCCCTCCCCTCCCTCCCCACCAAATCCCACAAAACTGTAGACCCACAAAACCCCTTTTTACCTCAGTAAAGGTAACAGTCACTCAGGAAGCAAACAGAGATGTCATCAACACAACACGTAAGAGTGCATTAAATAAATATAAATTTTATTAAAAACACTCACATAGCGTTATCAGGAATGATATAATAAACAGCTTTTTCAAATAACCTGCATTCATAACATTACAATACTTACAGTATTTATAGCCATCCTCAGATTTTATAAACCAAATGTCTCTCGAAAATGAAATGAAAACTAAGTTAAAAAAATAAAGCATAGAAAAAATGCATGTCCCCGTTCATTATCTTAGTGTCAAACTGCAAATTTCCTAGATGAGCTAAACCACTAGCTTTAGAAGTGAACTGTCACTGTGCGTCCATCAAGATGAAAAAATTCATTCAAGTAAAGTTGACACCCCTCAGAAGCATTTTCAAGTATGGCTATCGAGTCAACCTGATAATTCCTATAGAAGCAAACCGTAGATCGGCTTTCCATTCATTGTGACTGAGGCAGGTTTGATATTTACAATGAGAAATCTGATATTTACAAAATGCCATTCAACCTCCTCTCTTCCTAATCCATTCTTCCCAACACTCTGGACCACACTTTCCTGCTCCTGCTGGCCAGTAGTTTGACAAATGACAGCGGACAACACAGAAACCAAATATTCTAGAGGGATGGCTGACCCTCCATCACCAAATGTTTTGAGTTAGATAATATAAGTAAAACACATGGCTTGTATGCATAGCATACATTTTAAAAAATGCTTATAGAGCTGGGCCCTGGTGGCTTACTTGTCTAATCCCAGCTACTCAGGAGCTGAGAGCTAGAAATCCCGGTACAAAGTCCACCTGGCCAGGGAAGTCCATCAGACTCTTACCAAAAAAAAAAAACAAAAGTTGGAGCTGTGGCTCAAGTGGTAGAGCACCAGCCTTGAGCGAAACAAAAAACAAAAACAAAAAAACATAGAGACAGCTCCCAGGCCCTGAGTTCAAGCCCCCAGTATTGACACACAAAATAAAAAGCTTATACATTGGACACACAGCCAAAAACTTGTGATATTTTTTTAACTCAAAACAAAAATTCATCTTAAGATCTGACCAATGAAACTCAAAGGACTCCCTAGATTAAGAATGTTTTTGAAAAGCTAGTAAGCAAAAATATATTTAGACTGAAATGTAATTATACAGTCCTATTGCACACCATACCTCTATGTTGGGCCTGTTTAAGGTGGGGAGGGGTCTTCCTAGAGTTATAAACTTATGATTGTTTGATAAAAACTACCCCCCCTAAAAAAAAACACAAAAAAAAAAAACAAAAAAAACCCCTAGACAAACCACTTTCTTTCAGGATTAAAAGGCTTCTGGCCCAACAGTCACTTGCCAAACTTGTGCCGCTCAATTTTCCCTTTATCAGCTCAGTGCATTCTATTTTCATGTAATAATTTCTTCTCCATCAAAAAGCCAAAAAAAAAAAAGGCCCAGTACTTTAAAATGCTTTTCTTTACAATGACTAGCCAATAGATTTACAAAATTAGTTTTAGTTACTTACATCAATACATATACAAGGAAAATAGGAGGGATTCAAAATAAAAGGGTTAAATCCCTGAAAAAAAAAGGAATACATTTATTAACCTAAAACAATTTTACATAAACACAGGTGACATTGGCATAGGAGAACATGAGCTGAGATATCCCTGAATTTTTAGAACAAAAAGGTTGATGTTCAAGTTATACTTGCTAAAAAATCAAGTATTGATTTAAAAAAAAAGTATGCTTTTTTTTAAAGCAATAAAAAATGACTTGAAAAACAAAATGGTGGTACACAATGCTAAACTTCCACTCAGTTCCTATCTTATTGCCACACTAATATTGAGGTATATGACAACCAGGGACATCACTCAAACCATTAATTCTTCACTCACATTATGATATATTTGTAGCAGGCTGAGTAGCACCATTGTGATGTGAAATCTGCTTTCATCTCATGTAAGTATGGGTGTATATATATATATATATATATATATATATATACATACATATATATGTATATATACACACATATACACAAATATGTATATATTTAAAATTTTTACAGTACTAAAATACTAAAGCCTTGCATTAAAAAAGCTTTGTTTACAATTTAATTTACTATACAACTCTTTTAACTTCTTTATACAAATTAATGATTTTAAATCACCACAGCAAACCAGCTGCCTGTTTTTATTTATTTATTTTTCGTTGCCTTCTTTGTAACCATCAAGATTCAAATGGAACTAACCCTGTTTATTCAGTCCACTTCAATCTTCCTAAGCAATCACAATGATGAACACAAGTTTCAACATAAAAGCAGACAGCCGTTCTGGTCTCTGAAGATCACCTAGGTCTGGAGACCAGTGCAAGCTTCAGTAACTAAGAGTGGCTGAGTCTTTAGCATGTGGCTAAGCACAACCCACAGCTAACGGAAAATTCTGCATAAAAAAAGGTACATTTCTGAGTGACAAACTTGTCATACAGTTTTGTATTGGACTGTATAGCATGGGAAATGAGCACCAGAACACATGTGTCTTATGGACTGACGTATTCCTTTGAATCCAGTAAGCTTTCAGGGTGTTTTTTTTTTAAAAAAAAATTCTTTTTCATCTCAAAATAAAAGTAAACCTTTGTTTCTTTCTTAAACATCTCAGTACCTTCGCATTGTTCAAGTTGCCAAGGCTTAGGTAGGCAAAGTGCTTCTAAAACACCATTTAAAATAGTTAGACATATACATGTATACAAACATATGTGTGTATATGTACATGCGTACATTTATTGTCCTATAAGGACGTGAGTGGATGAACAAGATCCAGAGGCCATTAAAATGTCCTTTTTTTTTTTTAAAGTAAGCTTGTATAAGAACAGATCACTTTGATTAAAAACTTGAATGCAAAGGTACCCCTAACTCTTCAAGGGGTGTTACCACGAGGGTACATTGACAGCAACTTGATGATAGAAAGGCATTGTTTTTAGCTATTAAAGACACCATTTTCTTAGCACCAGTTTGTAGCACTTCCAAACAAATTCAGTGTTTTGCTGCTACTCAATGCTTCTTCTTGTAGCTATATTGATAAATAAGTTAATATTAAGAGTACAGTAAGAACTGCATGTTAAAAAGCCATGATTCCAGTATTTCAGTACATTGTATATTCAGCACCAGATGCTATGTGAAGATTCCTGCAACTGTACGGTGACAGTTTTTGTGTCCCAACACTACGCAAACCTTATGTATTATTCAAAGTGGCCACAGATAGGCTGAGCTGTTAAAGGGAATCACATTTACCTATTAGACCCTCCCATCACAGAACCAGTGTTTGAAAATGGAAACGAAATCAAGGATATGTCCACACCTTTTTTTTTTGTTTTTTGCTTTTTGCATAGAATGCTTTTTTTTTCCTGGACACCATTGGTGAATGACCACTTGGGGATCAGTGGAAATGAAGCTCCCCTGTTCCCCTCTCCACCCTGCCCAGGTCTTGAGAGCTACACGAAGCACTAGGGTGGCTGTTGTCAGTTCACATGGGGTCACTGGCCGTAGGGACCTCACATGTACCTGTTGTAGGGCCCTGTGACCCTGGTGAAGGCGTATGGAGACGTGGTCACCGTGGAATCGGTGGTCACCGAGATGGTCTTTTCCACCAGAGACTTGATGAAGCGCAGGTAGGTGGGCTCCGCGGGCTCGTGCGGCTCGGCCGGCTCCCGCTTCGCTTTTTTGCCATGCGTTTTCTGAGGCACATAATCCGGGCCGTACTTCTCACACTCTTCCTCTTTCTCCCGAGCTTTTTCAGCCATTTTGGCTTCCCAGTGCGCCAGGCCGTGCTTTGGTTCATTCATACTCTTGTGTTGGTAAAAGACCAGCGAGATCCTGGTGGGATTGTTCCTATCTGGGTTCTTTAGGGGGGTGGTGGCATGAAGCTCCCGCTTTGCGCACTCAATGAGCAGGGACCCATGAGTTGGAGCTACAGCCAAACCCCCAAGGTCAGGATCCAGGAAGCTCTGTTCACTGTCTGACCAGACTTCTTCGTTGTCCTCTTTACCCGGACCCACCGCCTGGACCACAGGCATGGGCTGCCGGTCCTGACTGCCAGCATCGCTTAACCTGTGCAGCACGCTTGGAGGAGCGGCGGCAGCCCCGTCCTGGCTCAGCCCTGGAAACATCTTGGAAAGCCCGTTGGTGGTGTGGGCAAGCGCGTTGTTGGTCTTGGGTTGCAGGTTCAGGGTGTGAAGGGAGCCCAGGCCTGTGCTGTAGTTGGGGGTCGGGGGAGCAGGTGGCTGAGGATCACTGTTCTTACAATCTAGGCTTGGGTTGCTGGAACTGGGTGGTAATCTGGAAGCAGCTCCCATGCAGGGGTCTTCCGGCTCGGGAGCCGAGTGGGGACGGAAGGGCCCCGCCTGGCAAACACTTGGTCTCAGGGTAGAACCGCCGGAGGTATCGCCCTGCAGGTTTTGGTTTCCATAGTACTTCGAAGTGACCCTCTGGTTGTTGCCATACCTCTGCTGGTAGAGTGTGTGGATGGGTGGAAGATTCAGCCTGGAGAGATGGTCTTGGTTTGGGTATCTGTATAAATCCATGGGTTGAGTCAGGGACGAATAGGAGCCCAGATAGGAGGAGCAGTTGTCCATGGATGTAGTGCCATTGCACTGATAGGATGGGTACTTGTTATTCTGATTTAAAAGTCCAGGATAGGGGTGCGTGGGATTAGAAGAACTCAGATATGAACTAGCAGCCTGGGGGGAGGTGGAATAGAGATTCATGTGGTTGGCGCCACCATAAATATCTGACAGGTGGGGGGAACTTGGATAAGGACTGATGGGATTGGGCCGTCTCATGTACACATTGCTGCACCCGGAGGAAGAGGAAGAGCTGACAGATTCTGATTGAGGGTTGCTGGTCAAAGTGTGCTGTGGCAGCGGCTGGGGTGCCTGGGGTCGCTGGCTCTGGTGGCTCTGTGGGGTGACTGGTCCAGAATGTCTAAAAAGTTCTGTAGACAGGGTAAGATGGAGAAGAAACAAAGAGACAGGATTATTATTTGGTGAAGTTTAGTGAAGGTATTTTACTATAGGTGTGCACTCAAGATTATGTAACCTTTGGCCTGGGGAGGTGGCTCAGTGGTAGAGTGCTTGCCTTGCATGCATGTGGCCCTGGGTTCGATTCCTCAGCACCACATAAACAGAAAAGGCCGGAAGTGGAGGTATGGCTCAAGTGGTAGAGTGCTTGCCTTGCATGCATGAGGACCTGGGTTTGATTCCTCAGCACCACATAAACAGAAAAGGAGTGGAGCTATGGCTCAAGTGGTAGAGCGCTTGCCTTGAGCTGAAGAGGTGAGGGACAGTGCCCCAGCCTAGAGTTCAAGCCCCACAACTGACAAGAAAAAAAGTATTGGTAACCTTGCTTGGGGCCAGTGGCTCATGTCTGTAATCCTAGCTAATCAGGAAGCTGAGATTTTGAGGATCACCATTCATAGCCATTCTGGGGAATACAAATCCAGTTGACTCTGATCTCTTAATTAACCAGAAAAAAAAGCTGGAAGCGGAGATGTGGTTCAAGTGGTAGAGACCCATTCTTTGAACAAAATAGGCCAAGAAGAGTGATACCCTGAACTCAAGACTCAGTACTGGCATGGCACATATGTGTGTGTGTGTGTGTGTGTGTGTGTGTGTGTGTGTGTAAACACATGCATGCACACACGTATGTACAATGCAACTCTAGAAAGCAAAGGCTTTCATTACTATCTGGCATCTTTTTTTCCCTTCATCTACAAGAGTTAGAAATATGTAGAAGTAAAATGCAGAACTTTGAATCATCTACTGTGGTAAGGGAAGAAAGAATTGTAATAAACATTTGCCGGCAGGTATTCTACTGAGATCTTCCTCCCCACATGCCTGTCTGAGTGTCTCTTCTTTCTTCTCCCCATTTCTCTTCCTTGACTTTGCTTTTCCTTCCCAAAGGTTTCTGTAAGGTCACTTCAGGTGGCTTTTTCAAATACCCATTGCAAGTAGAGGTGTGATGGAGCAAGAGGCACAGGTGTGTTGTAGAAATGGGCTGTTTCTAGAGCCCCCTGCTCACTTCCTCTATCTCTGGAAAAGGGCCAAAAGCCTAAGATCTGGCAGTAAATTTAATGAACATTGTCTGAAGAAAACCACTCAGAAGGGACAAAGTTCAAACTGATCATACTTCACAGCCACAGTGGGCAGTGAGCCCAGCTGACTTCATGGAAGTCAGCCAGCTAACCAGGATTTATTAACTATCTTTACCATACTGTTCTACATTAACTTAGTCCCTGTGAGCTTGGGAATTCATCAGTAGAGAGATTTGCTTTCACAAAGGATTGGCGGTTGGTTCTAAGCAAATGTGTATCTGTAAAAATATACATTTGTGTGTGCTTTTTTTTTAACAGCCAAGGAAAGAAAAATTGGACTGGAGGCAGGATTCAAATGGTAGTACTCCAGCCATTTGTAAGAGTTTGACACTCTGAACTCAGTACTAGCCCTTCCCCCCCTACAAAATACATCTACCCCTTGTTGCCAATAAATCACATTTTAAGATGCCATTTTTTTTAGTGTTATAGTCTTAAGACTTGAAACATCCTTAAACTTCTCTTCATTCCAATATTTTGTCCCCCATGGATTTTATTTTTCATTTGGAAACATTTATCATATTTTTTGCTATATTTCTACTGGTCCTACCCAAATTTGAGGTCTTGGTTTATTGTATGTCTCCAACTGCTCTTCTTTTAATTTAGCTATCTTTTTGCTATCCTGTTGACTCAAATCCCATTCTACCACTTAGCTGTTTAAAAAAACCCACAAATTTCCTAATTACATACAATAAAATCCAAACTTCTCCCAGAGGAGGTACTACAGAACAAGTAGTCCTTGCCACCTTTGAGAAGTTTCTTTAGTGCATAGAACTAAGACCTGGCTGATCCCTTGCTGCCCACATGGATTTCCCTCGCTCAGGATGAGTGGATGCGTCATGCCACATCTGGCAAAGCCCCCCCTCCCCCCCCCATGGCACTCACCTGCCAGCTGTTTGGCCTGGCCTACAGTTTCAGTCTGCTTTGTCCGTGATGAGGCTGACTTTTCCTTCTCATTCTTGCTTGAGTTGTTCTCCAAAGAATTGGAAAGCTTCTCAGCGGCAGCTTTCCTGGCTTCAAGTTTCCTTTGTCGACAACTCTTGGCCGGCTCGGCTAGCATCCGGACTTTGTGATGAAAACGGGTCAGAACCTCAATAGCACCACTGCGTTTTTTCTCCTCCTGGCCTTCCACACTCCCAAACTCATCCACATCAGAGATTTTGTACAGAGGCAGTACGTGGAGCTGCTCATCCTCAGGTTTCACTCCAAATTCTCGATTGCCTTCTTTTGTGAGGGTGCATACCTGGGAGGGGAAGGGGGGCAGGGCAGCTACAGCGGCAGGTCCCAAAGGACTGCATGGGCTGGGTAGGATGGATGAAATGCAAATTACTGTACGCCTGTGTCTATTTGAGTCTACTGGGAACTATTACAGGTCCTGACTCGAGAGACCACACCCTCCAACTAAAGGAGTAAACCTCTCCATTTTATGTATGGGACAAGTGGGAAGCTCCTTTTAAAAGATGCCAAAAATCAGATGCTGGTGGCTCACACCTGTAATCCTAGTGACTCAGGAGGCTGAGATCTGAGAATCAGCCCAGGTGGGAAAGTCCATGAGACTCATATCGCCAATTAACTTCCGAAAAGCTTAAGGGAAGCCGTGGCTCAAGTGATAGAGCACTAGCCTATCACTAGCATTAGCAAAGCCCAGAGACAGTGCCTAGGCCCTGAGTGCAAGCCACAGGACATACACACAGATGCACACACACCCACACTGCTTCCACTGATTTCATCTGATGCTGATAGACAACACCTCCTTTACCTCTGCTCCCTGCTCATACTGCAGTGGAATTTCACAAGTCCCATGCCTGCATTCTAACACTGTCCAACAAATTCAAGATACTTCTACAAGGTAACATAGTGAAAAACAGAAGCTGAACATTTGGTTGAATTGCCTGGCAGATGACTTAACATTTCTTCTTCTGTGGTAATCATTATACATATTTTAATTGTGGTACTACAAAAACCATGCAAGATGGTTTTTAAAATACTTGCTTTTGGGGCTGGGAAGGTGGCTCAGTGGTAGAGTGCTTGCCTTGCATGCATGAGGCCTTGGGTTCGATTCCTCAGCACCACATAAGCAAAAAGAAAAAAGCCGGAAGTGGTGCTGTGGCTCAAGTGGTAGAGCTTGAGCTGAAGAACTGAGGGACAGCGCCCAGGCCCAGAGTTCAGGCCCACGACTGGATCCCCCCGCCCGCCAAAAAAATACTAGCTTTTGGGGAGTATTTACTGTTTGCTAAATGGGAAAAATAAGAGACAAATTAATATAATATAAAATCAGTGGACGATACTTTTTAAAAAATGTACACATAACAGTCTCACCATTATATGGAAATAGCGGTTAACATGAGATAATATGGTGAGTTTGTTACTTGCTACCCAGAGTTTTCCAAAGTCATGTTGCCAAGGCATCTTTTTCCTCACAAGCAAATTCTCCTTTTCACGGTGGGGGTGGGAGGCTGGGTAATCTGGATTTGAACTGAGGGCTCTGCTGCTTTTCTGTTTGCTAGGCGGGAACTTGGCCATACCTCTTGCTCTTCTTGAAATAGGATCTTGCTTTTGCCCAGATTTGTCTGGGACCTGACAGGTGTGTGTCACCATGCCTATTTGTTGGTTGAGATGGGGAGTCTTATGAACATTTTCCTCTAATATCCCCAGTAGCCAGGATGACAGCTATGAGCCCCAAGCGCGGGCCCCTATTAAGACATCCAAGACTTCGTTCCACCTCCCTCCAGAGTCAAATTCCCTTTGATTTTCGATCTCCACACTTTCTATCACCCTCCTGGAAGGAGACAGGGCTATCTCTAGAACCTACAATAACTAAGTGATGAATTATTTCACTCATTTCTCAGAATCTATGGTAGGTATATAGAACCTAGCATAGTAAATGCTGAATGCTTGACAATGGAGGAATTTATATGTGGTTGGCAGGCCTTGTGTTTCCCTCTAGAATTACGATTATTCCCTACCAGGTATCCTGAATGTCTAGAGATTGTTTAGAAATGGCCAAGTACAGACGATGATTTAGATTACCACTAGGAATTCCACACATTCCCAAAATAGTTTTCTACTATTAAGAAAATCTGTTCCGAATAGTAGTTGGTAGGCCAACGAAGGTCTCCTTGCCAACAGCACTTCATGTATGCACGCTTGCTCTCTAGACACACCTTCGGAGAACCCAGTACCGTAGGTCTCCACTCCCTCTGGGGAGGGCCAGCCCCTCTTACCAATGTGCTGCCATTCGGCATGTTGTGCAGGTCCCTGTGGGCATGAGCACAGAAGTCCAAGCACGCGGTCACCCCAGAGAACGGGCGGCCTTCCCCCAGACCCAGGCGGCACTCTGGAGCTCTGTGTTCGAACTCAATCTGAGAAGAATAAAAGCATGTGTGTCAATTAAGGGCATTGGGTTTCACTTGTAGATAGAACCTCATATTCTAAATACTCTTGCATAATAAGTAATTTAAATGCTTATTTTAAGCCAGGGACCAGTGGCTCAGGCCTGCAATCCTAGCTACTCAGGAGGCTGAGATCTGAGGATCGTGGTTCAAAGCCAGCCCAGGCAGTTAAGTCCATGAGAGTCTTATCTCCAATTAACCACGAGAAAACCAGAAGTGGTGCTATGGCTCAAGTGATAGAGCTAAAGAGTACCTTGAGCTAAAGAGTTCAGGGACAGCACCCAGGCCCAGAGTTCAAGCCCTACAACTGACCCCCCCCCAAAAAAAGAAAAATAGTATCTGACTTTTTCTGTACCATCTACCCATGTAACCATTGCCATGAGTCAGATTACAAAGTGCATAGGCAGCTTTCTCTTTGAGACCATGCTCTTCCCAGGATGAGGCATACATTCTATTTCTTTTTTTCACTTTAGTATCTAAGATTTCCAGTCGGATGTTGAAGAGAAGTGATGAGAAGAACCGTATTTGTCTTGTTCCTAACCTTAGGGTAAAAGCATTCAGCCGTTGAGTAAAGTTCAGTATTATACAATGCTTCTGATTGTTCACCTGCTCCCCCTTACAGATAGAGATACTTCCTTTCTATGGGTGCAGATTATTAAGTGCTTTTTCTTCAAAAACTGATCATATTATTTCCTGCTGAAAGATTGAATGACTTCAATCTTTCAAATTATCTTTCAGTAGTTATACAAAGGGGACATTAAGGTTTGTGTGTCAAAGGAGCCAAGCATTTCTGAAAGAACTTCAGTTTTAGTCATTTGGTAGAACTTTTATATATTGTAAGATCTGATTTATACTATAAGACTTGATTTGCTAAGCTTGCAAAGAAATGTTTACACAAGTATTCATAAGCATTGGAGTGTGGCTTCATTTTCCCTTCATGCCTTTCTCTGGTTCTACTGTTAGCCTCAGAATGAGTTGGGAAGTTTTGACACTTAAACTCTGGAACTGTGAACAAAACTGGCAGCATTTCTTCCTTAAATGGGTCAAGGGGCTGGGAAGGTGGCTCAGTGGTAGAGTGCTTGCCTTGCATGCATGAGGCCCTGGGTTCCATTCCTCAACACCACATACGCAGAAAAAGCCAGAAGTGGTGCTGTGGCTCAAGTGGTAGAGTGCCAGCCTTGAGCTGAAGGGCTGAGGGACAGCACCCGGGCCCAGAGTTCAGGCCCCATAATTGACCAAAAATTAAAAAAAAAAAGATTAAAAAAAATGATGGGCCCAATTTGCTAAAGAATCAGCTAGGCCAAGACTTTTCATTTAACTACAGACTAAATAGACCTAAAGAACAGAGAGCTATACAAGGTCTAAATTGTTTTCCTGTAGTGAGCGCTGGCAATTTGTCTCATTTAAAGATCTCTTTTGGGGGCTCTCTCCATCTCATCTAATTTGCTGGACTCACTAGTATAAAGTGTTAACATTTCTCCGTTTAATATCTAAGGGATCTTTTGTGGTCTACTCTCCTTTCCTTATTTGTTGTAGTGCTGGGCATTGATTGTACCCAGAACCTTGAGGCTGCCAGGCAAGTAAGTACTCTACCACGTGGTCTAGTCCTTCTGCATTTTGTATCGTGCCACTAAACTTTGTCCTATAGGCGTCAAACACTTGATACCCCTGTCTCTACCTCCCCAGTAGTTGAGATTGCCAGATCTGTGCTACCATACACCTTTGGGGTGAGCTGTGTTTCTCCCCCTGTACTTTCCCCCGGAAGTACTGAGAATTATTAAACCCAGCCAACTTGCCAAGCCAAGTGCTCTACCATCAAGCTACCTCTGCAGCCAATATTCCTACTGTATTCCATCTATTTTGTTCCTTATTAGATTGTCTTTTGGTTTCTCTGATTTGTTCTCTTAGTCTATGTATTTTATTTCATTTATTCTTTGTATTTTCCCCTTTATTCTGCCCTTTAGGACTTAAATTGCTTTTCAATATCCAGTTTCTTGAGTAGATGCATCGAATACTGACTTGAGAAATTGCATTTTTCTAACGTCATGTTTAATATCATTTCTTGTCATTTGGTTTGAAATACTTTGATTTCCCATGTGATTTCTTCTTCTTTAGCTCTATCTATAATAAGTTTGTTGCTAAGTTTCTAGACACTTAAGGAACTTTTTAGGTACTCTTCTGGTACAGAATATTAATTATAGAGAATATACTAGCATTTTTAAATTTATTGGTAATTGTTTCATAAACCAGAATATCTTGGAAAATATCTACCTTGGTAAACCAAGCTTATGTACCTGGATATTATGCTAATTTTGCTGTTGGATGAGAGCTTTCTACACATTAATTAGGCCAAGTGGGGTAAATGTTTTGAGTTTGTTTTTTTTTTTTAGTCTTATGCTTTTTTAATTCTTTTCTTTTGACTTCTATCAATCATTGTAGTAAATTCAAATCTCATTGTGTGGATCTTTGTTTGATGATTCCGCATTTGAACTCAGGGCCTCATACAAGGCAGATGCTCTCCTGATCACTGAGCCACTGGTGATTCTGAGACAGGGGCTCACTTCTTGCCCAGACATAGGCCGAGACTAAAACCCATTTATGCAGGGTATTGGTGGATCACGCCTGTACTCCTAGCTACTCAGGAAGCTGAGATCTGAAGATCTCAGTTTGAAGCCAACTTGTGTAGGAAAGTCTGTGAGGCTTGTATCTCCAATTAACTGCCAAAAAAGCCAGAAGTGGAGCTGTTGCTCCAGTGATAGGATGCTAGATGAGCAAAAGAGCTCAGGGACATCATTCAGACCCCGAGTTCAAGCCCCAGGACTAGCACACACAAAAAAGATGATTTTCTGACATGTGCACCTGCCTCTACCCTACCCTGGCTTTTTTCATATTAACCAACATGTTATTTCACATGTCTGTCCTATTAAGACACAAACATTGCATCAGTTCTGCATGTCCCTAGTGAATAACCACAGAACAGTACCTGATGGGCCTTCACATAATGTTTTTATAGTTAATACAGTGAAGACTTCATGGTTCCGGTTTTTTGTTTTTTGGGGCTTTTTTGCCTTCTTTTGGAGTAATGTTTGTCCCAAATTACTTATCTAAGATACACTAATACACAAAAAAGAAGCAAAAAGGGGGCTGGGAAGGTGGCTCAGTGGTAGAGCGCTTGCCTTGCATGCCTGAGGCCCTGGATTCGATTCCTCAGCACCACATAAGCAAAAAGAAAAAAAGCCGGAAGTGGCGCTGTGGCTCAAGTGGTAGAGCGCTAGCCTTGAGCTGAAGAGCTGAGGGACAGTGCCCAGGCCCAGAGTTCAGGCC